GATACTACAGCGTCTGATAATGGTACGCAATTTACTATGTTTGTTAATACTATGCACTTGAACATACAACAATTTTGCCATACCAAACAAGATCAAATGGTCAGGCTGAACGTTTTGCTATGTTCAAAAAGTCGTTAACGAAATCAAACGGGGAGGAGATAGAAGAAGCAATGCTCCAACTGTTTTTAAGAATTTATAGGCTTACTCCTTATACAGCATCGCGGATGTCACCAGTGGAACTAAAATTTGAAAGGAAAATTAAATCGAGATTTGACAACTTACTAGTTGGAAGAAAAAGAAAAAGTTGGCATAGTACGAATTTAACTATAAAATCTTTCAAAGCTGGAAATAAGATTTTCTTCAGGTTTTACGAGACAGAAAAGGAAAGTTGGGAAGATGGTGAAATAATAAATCGTACTGGCGGAATGGTGTATACGGTACAGGGTCGAAATTGGCAACATAAAAGGCATTTAAATCAATTAAAACCAAGATATGCCGAGGGAAAAAAAACAACAAAGGGATTTACTGATGGAAGTGGTGTACGATATATTTGATTTGACAACTTCAATTATAACTACTCGAGAACACTGTGTTAGTATAAGGAAATGAAATCCAAGAGAAATTTTTGAAGTTAACCTCAAAAGAAGACAATACGTATACAAAAGGTAGGTTTAGTGCAAAAAGACGAACGACCTTCGCTACATTAAATAGACTATTCACTACACTAGGAGAGGAACGTCAGCTTATAGGAAGGGAGTCGCACGCATTGCTGCACTAACTACAGTATTCGCTATTATTATATTATCAATCCATGGGATTAAACAGTTTCTTCACTAATCTTTCAGTGTCTTCCTTGGAATATTATTAATCAGAATTACGAGAATTATAATATATATATATATATATATATATATAGGGTGGCAATAAAATCACTATATAATAAAAACTTATAATAAAAAAGCCAAAGGATTAAAGCAGGTAGCTTGCAGTTCGAACAGTATCGGAAATTAATTTACTATTATTTTCATAGTATTTTATCGTTAGTATTAAGAATTAACCAAAACCATTTTAATAATAAATTTCTTGACTGTTGATTAATTGCTTTGTCTTAATTGTTACTGTAACTGTATAGTGACTTTATTCTCAACCTATATATATATATATATATATATATATATATATATATATATTATATATATATTGTGATGTTGGAAGGCTTCGCTTCTGACTTTTGTTATGTCAAACAAAAGTTCGTTACCACTTCAAAAAATGTTCGTTATATTCGAGACTTCGTAGACGCTGTTACTAGTAGTAATGCCTTCCAATAATATCCACACTAGTAGTACTTGTTCAAGTAGTAATCGCCAAATAGTATAATGATCAGAAGATAATCGTGATCCGTATATTAATAGAGAGAGTGAACGTATAGCAATAGTGGATAGAGAGAAAAGTCAACAGAGATCGGTGATCGTAACGCTACTTCGTATTTATTCACTTCTTTTATGATCACGTGATCTACTTAATAAGTGAATCGCTAGTGAATCGTTACTCACAGGCGATCTAGTTTCAAACCACAGTGTCGGCAACGACACTTACTCTTACACAGCAATATATATATTTGTTTTGTTTTTTTTTTACTTTCTGTAACTTCTTGATTTTTTTGATTTTTTCAGATACACCGCACTCTAATAATGGCAAGATTACCATTAAGTTTTTGAGAAAGAAAATCTGTCATAAAGTGTTATTGGAACCACGAAAAGATTAAAGAAGGGCAAAAGCAATTTAGAAGACATTAGTACAGAGATCCACTAATACGACTTACTAATACTGGCCTCAGAAATAAGTTTGAAGCAGATGGAACGGTTCACGACGTTCATAAGCAACATTGAGGAAGACGACGGTCATCTACCACCCAACGCAAAAGAAAAATAACTGCTGAAAACCTTCCTTCGATTTCCAATGAAATCTGTACGATAAATGGCCCGTGAGACAGAAATCGTAAAACCGCATGCCCATCGCCTTTTGAAGCGAGTCCCTTGAAGATGACACATTCCAACATTAATCCACGATCTAAATGAAGATGATCCTGACCGAGGAATTGAATTTTGTGAATGGTACCTCGACAAATACGTCGAAGATGCTGCATTTCCATCCACAAATTGCCCGGAGCGATGAGACCATCTTTAAGTTAAATGGCTCAATTAATTGATACAGTTACTGGGCTACTAAAAATCCACATGTTACTATGGAACACCATTTGACTTGCAGGGGTTACAGTGTAGTGTGGGATAGCAGCATTGTTGGATCTTTTTTTTTTTTTTTAATCAAACTGTCATTGGTGATGTTTACCTAAACAAGAATTCTTCTGTCCACGTGTATCCAAGAATTTCCGAGTTGCATGCGTGTAAATGTTTTTCTAATTGTTAGCCTAGTGAAGAGTTCCAACAATTTACATAAATGTTTATTAAATTTTCATTCTTTTGCATCATAAAATAACGTCTTTAGAAAAATATGATTTCTGAAAAAAATCCTATTTACCATCACGTCTCCTGAAGAGCGGACTTGATACTCCGAAAGAGCAGAGATAGAAAGGCTTAATAAAGAAAATATAACTTCCTTTCGGAATATAACATTTAAAGAAATAAGAAATAATATCGGATTAAAAATGCATTAAATGCTTAGAAATTACGATATATGTTTCAATGAATGTGACAGACAAGATTTTGAAAGGATTAATGGTGTGCAGTGTATTGGCAGTGACACGTTTTAGTTATAGAAGTGTATGATTTTGGCAGCATTTACTTTTGTATAGTATATATTTTATACGTTTGCAAGTTTCAACTTATATTATTCTATACAAAATGAAAAACTTCTAACCTCATAATTACAAACAACACGCCTATAAAATCCAAACATAAAAAATCACCCAATGCAGTATATGAATTTAATTGCCGAGTACAAGATTGCGTCTTTTGTCACACGACCAATATCAAGATGGTCTTCCGTGACTAAATTGGTCGTGGCGCATTTTGGCTATAGAAGCGCTTTCCTTGATATATATATATATATATATATATATATATATATATATATATATAACATACGGGTTCGATTCATGTCGAGAGGCACAATTTTTCTTTAGTAGGACTTCTTGATCTCGGTCGGTTGTTAATAATTTCATTGTTTAATAAAAATAAAAGTAATAGTAAAAGTAATTCAAACACGTGTATCCACTAAAAATAAAGTTGAGAGTAATAAGAAATAATGTCAGATTAACAAATCCATTTAAAAGAATTACTGTGTTTACGTTCCGGGTACAAAAATGAACCTAACCGAAGTCCCAACTAGAAATATGCGTTTCCGATAAATAAGTAACTGATCTTTGTATACTAAGATGGCCTCACGTGGTCAAATTGGTAATGGAGCGCTTCAACTTTAGGAGTGATTTTCCTGGGGAAAAAAAGGCGGTACAGGTTTTATTCCTGGCGGGAAGCACCTTTTTCTTTAGTAGTTCTCGATCTAGGCCGATTGTTATTAATTTCAAGCTTTAAGAAAATTAATTAAAACAAAAAAAAACATGGATAACAACTCAAACACATGCACCCACTAAAGATAACGTTTTCTTCATGAGAAATAGAAATAAATGCTTTTCAACTGGTTTAACTCATCCAACAAAATCTATTTAATTATCGGCTGAATTTAACAAAAAACTTGAATTTGAATGAATTCTTACTATTTAAATTTGCGTGCGTGTCTTCTCAAAAGCGACGCCCCGAAAGTAATGCCTCCTGTTTATTTCCACAAAAACCAAGAGAGACAAAGGGAACAGAAAAAAAAAATCCGTTTGATCGAGCATTTGTTCAGTTACGAAATGCTATTTTCCTACACAGTCACGAACATTGGAAATGCATTTCCGCCAGCAATGAACAAAAAAACTACGGGAGCACTCGTAAAAATCTGCACCAGTAGAGACGACGAATTTTTTTCTTTCTTTCTTTCGGAGCAGCAATGACGTAATCCGCCTATTCGCGCGGATGAGCTGATCAAGGCGCTCTTCATCACGTGGCTTGACAAGTGTGCAGGGTCGCGCAGAATGTGGCTTGTCACACACGTTACTTGTGGCACTGCTGAAACGCCTTAACCACCGCCTAACACTGTTCATATATACTGTTTGAAACCGCCCCACCCCCAGAAAACCGCTTATTTTACATAACAAATATTATTTGTTGATGCACTTTATCCAATGGTGAATGGTGATCACTGGGACTAAACATTAGAGAGTGAAAATTTCAGATCGAAATTTTGCGAATAACTACATGCAAGTTAGCCGCATCCAATTTATCAATCTCTCTCTCTCTCTCTCTCTCTCTATATATATATATATATATATATATATATATATATTGCTGGTGTTAATAAAACAATGCTCGATATAATGCAACAAAAGTGTGTGTGTGTGTGTGTGTATATATATATATACACACACACCCCTAAAGTTTAAAATGCATTTTTAAAAATGAAAAATCTTTCTTGAGTTTTTATTTTAGTTATAATTTCAACAGATTAAATTTAATGTTTCCAATAAAGAAAATACTTCGCTATATTTCAAACTAAATTGAAAGTGATTGGAATGATTTTTTAAATCGTTAAAAAGGGTGATTTTAGCCATATTTACAAATCTCTTAGAACATCGTAATTTTCTTTATTAAAAAATTTTTCAAAGATAAAATATACTTATTTTTCCGAAACTTTATTTGAGGAATATTAGCTGATTTAAAGTCTAATTAATCTGATTTGAAACATATGTTACTTATTTTTAAGTTAAAATATCGCAGAAATGCAATTTTTAACATAGAGGTGGTTTTTTGAAGTGTTGAAAACTCTCTCGATAGATTTATATTTGCGAATTTTTTATAAGGGGTTTATATCAGTCATAATTACTTAGAGAATATAATTTGCACAGATTTTTTATATAATTTTTTTTTAACTAGCCAGTGGCTTATGGTCATTTCACTTTGAAACATCGGATCCCGAACGATCAGCGAAGTTAAGCAATGTCGAGCCTGGTCAGTACCTAGATAGGTGACCGTTTGGGAATATTAGGTGCTGTAAGCTTGGATGTGAGGCTGGTGTAATGGATGATGACTCGAAATTTTTAATCGGTGAGTCGAGTTCCAGTTCGGTTCGTGATATTCACTTACCCGCAAAAACCCTTAGGAAAAGCATGAATCCGCCCTCCCAGCTATGGGTTGATTAGTAAGAGTTGTATCATTAAATCATTATTATCTTAAAAGAAGTCTTATAATCTAAAAAAATATTTTCTGGCTTTAAATAATCTGCAAAGGGCTGATAAACCGTAAAAAATCTATCAATTAATCTATAACTGACTACTAATCTTAAAACTTTAAGAAAATATTCTAAGCAATTTAATATTTTGTTGAATTTTAAGTACTTTGGATTTATGGTCTAAGTTACGAAGATGTTTCGTGAGGAATTGATAGAAAATTATCAATAAATTCTAACTTTATTAGTTACCGCTCTTATTTTCTCATAATGTCGCGTTTGGACATCCGTATTTACAAAAATCTTCACTTTTACAACTTTTTGTTGAATTGTAGTGAGCTTTTTCATTTAGGATTAGAAAATATAGTCTTAATTTAATAACAATATCACTTGACCGTACAAATTAATACAGAATTTTAAAATATTTAAAAGTTTATAAATTATAATTAAAAAAAAAACGAATACAATTCTTGTAAAAATTCATTATTCATCAAATTTTTTTTCTTTATAATAGTGTCCATTACATATTACTTTTACATAAAAGCAATTTAAAGATTTTCTAATTAAATAATGACTTAGTTTTATTGAATTTTTTATTTTGCGATTCAGAACAGATTTTCTGTAACAGGGGGTCCTGTTTAACGAACCAAAATTTCATGATTTGAATTCTGTGAGAAATTGTCTTTATAACTCATAAAGATTAAGCTCAACAAAAAGAATTTCTCCAAATTTCCTAAAATTAAATAAATGGGGGTCAACAGATGTAAAAAAATATTTTTACAAAAAGTTTCTAAAAAAGGAACATTGAAAACATAATTTTATTAATTTGTGAATAAGTTCTGAAAGTTTCATTAAAATCAGACAGTTATCTGATTTTTGCAACATTTATATATATATATATATATATATATATATATATATAGAGAGAGAGAGAGAGAGAGAGAGAAAGAGATAGATAGATAGATAGAGAGATAGAAAACAAATTTTATTCGATGAAGTCCTAAAGGACGAAACGCGTCACACGAAACAATTTTTCCACTTTGTCATACATCTTTACCTAAAAATTGTTCTTAATATATCAAAATTATATATCGTTATCCCATATATATATATATATATATATATATATATATATATATATATATATATATATACATATGATAAAATATAGTTTTAAGGTATGCTTTATTTATGGGTTAAAGTGCTCAAAATCAGGGACAGAGCGTATGTAAGTATAAAAGTGAACATTGAAGGCAACACCCTGAAATGACAGTACATTTCATGCTAAACGCAATCGTCAAGCCATGTGCGTTGTGCTTTTGTTCGACTATTTATATATACAGGTCACTGATGCACTGTGGGTAGTCTGTATTATTCTAACAGTTATTTTGGTGGGTGTTAGGTTGTGTTTCGAATTATTCTAGAGGCTATTGAGTAGGAATAATTTTTGGCTATATGTAGTGTTGTTAGTTAACGTTTTATTTATTATTTATTATTTTCGTATTGGTTGTTACTGCTACGTTTTCTTGTGTTTATCTGTGCGTACTTGGTTTGTTAATTTGTTTAATATTTACTTAGTTTATTTGTTTGGATTAATTTATTTTACTTGTTTTGTTTATTTTATTTACTTTCGTTTATTCTCGTTCGTTTTTAGTTTTCGATTGTTAAGGAACGGAGTAAAATTCTGATCATTGATTTAATAGTTTATTTTGGCTTGGGTAGGAAATTCTAGCTATTTCTTCCCTCCATGTAGAGTTTACTGTTTTTGGATTGATTATTGTAGGCTGATGTTGTTTTCCTTATTTTTCATGATATTTTGGGTGTGGTTTGGTTTTTGTTTTAATCTCCCAGGTATGTTGGCGTATTTACTATTTGTACAGGATTTTTGCATGCGTAGTTTCTTGGTTACTCCGATGTATATTTTTTCGTCTTTATCTGCTGATTTTACAGTGGCTCGATATATTACATTGTTCTGCAAACAATTGCCGTTTAAGGGGCATTCGTTCTTTGTTCTGCAGTTGCACGGGGGATTAATTTGTTCAGGTGGTTTGTTGGTTGTTTTCTTGTGCTTTTTTTATTATTTGTGTCATGTTCCCGGTTCAACTGTAGCTGATTCTTACTGTGTTTTTGTTGAATATCTTGTGGATAGTGGTTGATGCTTGTTTGTGTATGAGTTTAATGAATATTTTTCGTACGTTTGTTTTTACGTTTTTGTTGTACGGTGGGTTGAACCATATGATGTTTCTGTTACAGCTGGCCTTTTTTTATGAGTTCTACCGGGAATCCCTTATCTTTTTAGGGTTGCTTCATAGTCTTTCTTGGCTTTGTTGAAGATGGTTTCACAAAAAGAATTGTCGAAAAGCTTGCGGTTAATTGATTGTGGTATCTGTTTGATTACTGATGTTGGTTGGTTGGAAGATACGTGTATATATAATGGTTTATCATTGAGTTTTCTGTATGATTTATATAGCCATTTTCTTAGGTTGAAAGTGACATCTAGAAAATCTACAGGAAGAGAAACATCATGTGTTTTAACCCACCGTACAATATTTTCCTAATTTTTAACATTTTAAAATTATATTATTGTAACCCAGGGAAGGTTACTGAATAGAATAGTTACAAGAAGGTTGGTAATGAACGATAATAATTAGGACAAGAACAACACATATAAGATTCGTCAGCGGCGCGTAGAAGTAGTAGTCAACTGCTAGAAGTGAGTCAAGTGAATTCCACAATGAATCTGCAACTGCAGACCAACATATAGTATTTACTACTGTATTTATGTGAATGGGGACATACACATTATCGTCCGTAGGTATGCTAAAACATATATAAAAAAGGCGCTTACGTTATATTCCTCAAGTAATTATTACAGATATGTCCACTGTAGAAAAAAATTGATAAACAGTCAAGCTGTCAACACTTTAAATAAACCCCTACCGTCATGTTAAAAATGCATTTCTGCAACTTTTTAAAATTAAAGTAAGTAATATTTGGTTCAAATGAGATTAATTAAACTTTAAATCAGCTAATATTTCTCAGATACAGTCTTAGAAAAGAATATTTTATTTTTTAAAGATTTTTAAATAAAGAGATTACGTTGTGATGACAGATGGCTAAAAATGGCGCTAAAATCAGCGATTTTAGCGATTTCTAAACAAAAACTCCTTCCAGTCAATTTAAATTAGTTTTGAAATACAGAAAAGAATTTTGCTTATTGGAAATATTAAATTTAATCTATTAGCTTGAAATTAAAGCTAAAATAAAAGCCTCAAAAAAAAGTTTTTTTCATTTTTAAAAATTCATTTTAGACCTGAGGTATCGCGTTTCTGTAAAGTCATTTAAGCAATATATGATATCGGTCTATAAATTCAATTGTACTATCTAAAATAATGAGTGGATAACATCTGCGAAATTTGAAGAAGGGAAGATAAGTTTTTTATTTGCTTATTATTTGTCAATTTATAAATTGGTTTTTCTCTCGCTAAGATTTTCATTTATTCATTCATCAAACTTCCTTTTCGTACTGATTCCACTTCATTTCCGTTTCTCCTTTGGCCATTATCACTTCGCTCAAGTGCTAAACCCGAAGATTACTTTCAGGTAATATGATCATTTCAATTTTAGAGATTTTTTTCACACATGAAAATCCATTTTAATTCTTCTATAACCCGGCTATCATTCTTCGACAGAAGTTGGCACCGATCATTTTCAATTAGATTCTCCTATCAATGTTTTTTTTTTAATTGGCTAAAAATTGTCACATGACTTTTAGTTGTACTTTTAGTGATGGGTTCAACTGTTAGATCTTGTTTACAGCCCGGAATATCACAAATCTGACTAACTACTTTGTTAGCAATTAAATTCTCATACAAAATCAATCTCGTAATAATTGGCTCTTCACAACATACTTAGATATGATATAAAGCTAATATGAAACCATTTCTCTTGCGTGTTTAATGAGAATATTAGTTTTTTCTCTATCATCTTCCATTTTGATACTTATTCTTCATAGTGTTCATAATTAGCTTTTTTTCAGGTACAGTAACACACACTTAACATTAAAATTTAGTATTGTCAAATTAGCAAAATAATTATAAACGATAGTTAGTTTTAGAAAGGATTTTAGAAAAAAAAAACTCATAGAAAAAACAGAAAGGTCTTTATGTATGATTTTTTTAAAGGATAAAAACAAAATGTCGTAGCGAAAAAAATAAGAGAGGCAGGTCCATCGTCAGTCTTTTGTGTCAGGGACAGCCTTTTATCCGTGGCCAGTAATAAAGTCACGAGAAAAAATAATCGCAATTTTGGCTATGAAAAAAATTACAATTCATTTGTGGTGACCGGTAATAAAGTCATCTATTTCTATCGGGTACTTTACGAGTTTATGGGTCCGTTCTGTTTGCAATAGAAATTCATAATAAATCGATCTAACCTCTTAAAATGTTTTTTTTTTTACTTATGCTACGGTCACATATTCGATGTATTTCATAGTTAGGGAATCATAGTATCCCATAAGGCCTGACTTTATGTGAAGAAAATTTCAATTTGACATAAAAATTTGAATTAAAAGTTCCTTAAATTTTCAATTTATTTATGAGACTGGGAGTTAGCCTACTTTTGGGATAAACGGCTGGGATTTCGTCCCTTGTCTTGTTTCGTTTTTTCTTGTAATTTTTTACTTGGATTCTTTCAGACAGAATGGCCAGGAGTAAGGATTTGCGTACTAAATTTAATTTGCATCGGTTTCGTATGGGGTAGAGGCAAATAATTTTTTCTGGTAGGAACAAGTTTGGAGAAGGTTACTGAAAGATTCTCAGTCCAACTAAG